GTCCGTTTTAACATAGAATAATGCGAATAATTAGCTCATTTAAAATAAATATCAATGATATTTTAACAAAAAAGTTAGTGGACGAAAAGCGTTGGTTATCTCCTTTCATAAATTAAAGATTTTATATTTTAATATGTATATTATACGATTGAACATAATAATAAAGAAAGTGTTTGTCATTTAGCCGAAATCACGTCTGCGATGTAGGTACATATATAACGAAGTTGTCGTCTCGGTGATAATGACAATACACCTGATTTTATGGATTTGCGAAGTGGCTGAATCTCTTGCCTAAAACTTACTCGAAAATTACCAAACTTGTACGATTATAAAGTTTACTACAATGTACTACCAATATGTTGGCGACGAAATGGTATATTACATTCGTACATGTAGAAAATACGCGAAGACGCTAAGTTATTATATAGAACATTAGCTGCTTAAAATATAATATGCGAATTCTATAATAAGTGCGGGCATTAACACTGTGTCACTGTCTGAAAGTAATCTGCATGAGTGTGGCAGCTACTCATTTGAGTAACGTAATTATATCTAGGGCTGTCAATTTAATATACTAAAATAATCCAACACATGTATTCAAGAGAATGGTATCATTTTGTACAGCAATTCATATTTTCATGAATTTAAAGAAGATTCATAACAATTTTTATGGTTGGAAATGTATCTAACAATTAGCAATTTGCGTAAAATACAAAAAAAAAAATGTTAAAACATAATATGTATTATGTATACCTAAGAAAACACAAGATAGAAAAAAAAATATAATAATATTATTAAAGTTTGATAGATTTTTTATACCAAAATATCATATTTAAATATTAAACGTAGGTATCAAATGCTGAAAGGCCAAATCCATATTTTTTTCAACATATGGGTACTAAAAAAATATAATATACATTCATTTGTGTACTAACGTTGAGTAACGTCTACAATATGTAAAATACAAATTTGTATTTAGAATGGCAATTTCATTAACTCTTATTTTGAATTCGGAATTAAATTCTTTAATATAAGTGAACAATCCATACATCTATAGAACTGGTTCAACGATCTCCATAATACATCAATTACTCATAAGTAAGTATAAGTAATAGGTGTAGTATAGTAGACAGTACTATACTGCTTTTCTACAATATTATAATCAATTTTAAAATGATATCGCAAAAAAATTGATTTTTTCAGACGAATTTCTCTTATTTTGATGGTGAAAATATTGTTTTTTATCTAGGATTATAGCCCAAGTATGTTTTCCTCTCTCTAAACAGTTTTGAACAAACAATTTATGAATAATATGTGCCGTCCCTTATTATGTAACCCTAACCAAATGAATCTCATGCATATTAGGTTTAATAATATTCATAAATTTATGTTTTGTTGTTTACTCGAGATTTAAAAATGCTAATTCAATGATTTTTTGACACTAAATGTCCATTGGATATAATATTTAAATTTTTATGGTATTTAAGATTTTTAATGATACTTAAAATGTTCTATAAAAGTATCTAATAACTCCACATATAACCTTATAACTATGTGCAGTAGAAAACATTTATAATTAGTTCATTAATATTTCCTAATTAATTCAAAATGTATGTAATTATTAATTAACAATATTTAGGTACTTCGTTATTATTATAGAAACGTTACATACCTACGAACTTATTGCCTCTAAAATTTAAATGCATGCAGCCATGTATAATTGATTATTAGTTTGATAACTAAACTTTCGCGAGCTTATGAAATTTCTATGTACCACACATGCAATCATTTATACAACTATTATAAAACTATAGTGGAAGCTGCAGTAAACTAGTATTATACATTCATACAACATATATAATAAATAAAATATTAAAGTTATTTATGTATAATATATGTATGTAGTATATACATTTAATTAATTAATTAATAACACACCTATGAATTGTTAAAAAATCTATTAACTATAAATCAAACAATACAATGCGTTTTGAAATCAAGGGCTTTATATTCTGCCATTAAAGTAGAAGTCAGTACAATACTACATTTCAACTCACAGACCTTTTAATTTACTGAATTTACATTTAAAGCAGGCGGTAACATTGTTTGATGGTAAAAAATTCATAACCCATTTTTCGAATCAGTTGTTTTTAAATGGTAAGAAAACGTTTTTGGTGGATGATTAGTGAATATTAAGAAAATTAACTTTTCTAATTATTGTCATTGCAATACTTTCACGGATGATTTACATGACAATTTCAACCTAAGCTATTTTTCTTTAAGATTTGATTAAGCTTAATGTATTTTGCATATGGTATTGTTTAAAAATTGTTAAACATCATATTGTAATTAAAAACAAATTAAACGGATAATTATTGTTGTAACAGCATACCTATATTATATTCCTTTGTTACTAAGCAAAAACTTTTTTCAATAAAAAGAAAAAATATTATATAATTTTAAAATAAAATACAATTATAATTATTGTAGTCGTTTTAAATTTTGGTTTTAATAATATTAAGTTTTTTTTTTTTATTAAAAATAATTTTAAAAAACCATATCTTGTATGCTACAACTGCGCAAAATAATTTTTAGATTGATAAATATTAAAGTGACATTTGACAGTGCTTATGTATGGCAGTTACTTCTCATTTCTCAAACAGGTGTAACTATAATATAAATCATAGAATTGTGTTCTCATAAAAACCATGCATATATGTTTTAATTACTTTATGATAAAAGATATATAGTGCAGATGTATGTAAAATGTGTGAAATTAATCAATTAATTGAAATGTTGAATACAGTTGTAAAATATTATACTCGTTATTGTTTTCTCATGAACAATTGAAATGTTAAATATTACGTAGGTAGGTACTTTTCAAATTAACATGCAGAAAATGACGAGTTATACTTGTAAAGTAAAATTTAAATCACTTAATTCTTCGAATTCATTAGTTATTCAAATTTTTAATAAATTAATTAAGAAAACCAATTAATTAAAATCAATAGAAGTCTAATGTCTATACCTACTTTAAATTGAATTAAATAGTTTAGACGGACATTTTATTGAAAATAAAGTAAGGTGTGTATTTTGCATAAATTATAAACTACGCGTACTCATATAATTCTATGATTTTATAATAGATATTATAAACAAAGCTCAATATATATTCTAAACTATTTTTTAATGATCTCTCACTAATCGTATACATATAATTCAACTAATATTATGTTATGTAAATAACAAAAAATCCATCGACCAGAATCTAAAATATAAAAAGTTAATAGTGAACATTTATTCCTATGCAATATGTAATTTGGTTGAAGTAATTTAAAATTAAAATAAAAATTATGAAAACTTCATTCATATTCATTATTTATCCAGCGTATATTTGTTTTTAAATTGAACTTAAATAGTATTCACATTAAATGTGTGTGAATAACATTAAAAAACATTGGATCTAGATATTAATATGTTGTAAAATTTATATAATAATATCTAAAGAATGACTATAAAATGTAAACTAAATAAGTTTCTTAAGATTTAGTCATTTTTTGATTAATATTAGTTTTTGTTGAAATTTGAAATACATTAGAAAGTATAAATCATATATTTATATTTAAAAAATGCATTTTTTTTTAAACGTTCCACAGATATTACAAAATTGAAAATTTCGATCTCTAGTATGAATTAAGTAATACATTTTAGTTTTAAATATAATGAACTAATGCTTAACGTCTGTGTTACAAATACGAAATTGATAATAGTACCTATAATAATATATTTGTTATAATATTATGTTGAGAATTAAGAAAGTGAATTGGTTTAGTAAAGTTGTACTAGTATTTGTCACAATGTAACTATTGTATTATTATACGATAATAAAAACGTGTCCGTTTATAAAAACGACAGGTATGGATAGAGAAGTTAAAAATATGACGGAGTCAGTGGGTACCATTTATGGCAATAACACCGCTGGGCCCTGATAGACAGCAGACCATCACAAAGTGAGGTGGAGGGGTTCGAGTAAACGTTTGGTTTAATAATAGCATCGACACGTGTGCTCGGTGATTGAATGGTACTTAATGGTATAATACAGGCATACCGAACACAAATCCACTTAACTTTACAGGGAGTTTATGCCGCGGAGCTGAGGCCGTGTGAATGATTGATCGAGTGCAGTTACCACTGAAAAGCGAGCGTCTATCGGTTTCTCTTCTTTATCCCCCCCTCCGATGGCTACCCACACCATCTTGCCCCAAAATGAAAGGAGGAATAAAAGATACCCCGCAGGGTCACGCTGGTGGTAGAAACTTTGGAATTTGACAGGGAAAAATAAAACGCATTGCAGACGCGTCGATCAAATCGTGGTTTTTACCCTGCGGCCCCCTCGCGGCATATAGTTCCCCTACAGCTGTAACCATGGGACGGATTCAAATGTACATTTATCACCCTTTTATTTGCAATTCGTGTACACTGTACAGCTCATAAAAATCTGATGGGATATATCTTTTCGGTAATGCTGTGTAAAAAAATAAAGGGACAAAATAAGATGCCGAATAATAAAACGAGATAGATCAACAATAATTAACGTATATTCCTTTACACTCGTAAATTCCAGACATTTTTTTGTGTTATGAACAAAATTAGTTCTAAATGAAATCATTCTAGGACTGGAAAAAAATATACTACCTAAATCACACATTTAAATTTAATTCTTTGTTTTAAAACTGATTGAGCACTAAAAATTTAAAAAATAAAAAACAATAATACCTGATCTGGTAGCTCTGCTGTATGCCAGCCCAAAAATGCCAACATTATTCAAACACTGTCAATATAAGCATTATTTGTCAAATGTATTCATCATATTTATTGTATTGTATAGATTGTAAATAATTTTAGTGAAATTTTAAAAAATCTAAAAAAATAAAATAAATAACAACCTGAAATGAATTAATTAAATAGGTGTTATAAATTATAATTGTATTTATTAACAGGAGACTGGTCGAACTCACCACCGGATTGCATCATGGTTAAGTGTCCGCCAATCAGCGTTGACGATTCGAGGTTGATCATGGTTGAGTACAACGACACGTACGGAAAACGAGCAGCGTTCAAATGCGCTTGGGGCTTTCAAATGTCTGGTGTCAATTCGATTGAGTGCTTGGCAGATTCCACGTGGTCGCATCGAATACCTACGTGTACCGGTAATGCCTTTTTTTTCACCGAAATATTATATTGTAATGTAGTATAGAATTTTTTTGGAGAGTTAACGTGACTAGTGGATACTGAAAAACATCCGAACTAAAATTATCTGATAATAGTTACGACCTCACAAATGTTAACGAATTTGTACAACGCGTTGAGTTGGCTTAAAAAAGAAAATAGTAAATTCTATATGTTTAGGGTTAGTAATTCATTTATTGCAAAATAAACTTAATAAAACTATAAATGATAAAATTCGACTTTGTGACTGGTTAGGATAATGACTTATCTGCTTGGACATATATTGTATTCTGAAACAGGTATAATGTATGGTATATTTAACAAAGGTTAAATTACTTTTTCCATGCGTTTAAATTCTGTAATAAAAAAAATATGATGTGTGACTGCTAAATCTATAACTTGTATACTTATTTATTAGTTGTGCGCTGTATATAGCATATACAGTTTGCGTTTTAGCAATTTGGAATAGATTTTGAATATTAGGGAAAAAATTTAAAAAAGATCCTTAATTGTTTTTTTCTATTTAACTTTTACATTTAAGCATAATAACTGAACTCAATGAATTTTAAAAAATATTAAACTTGACCATCTTAATTGATATTTGCGCTAGGTACATTATGTTTGAAGCAAAAAAATGCTTATGCATAGGTAATTAAATACAAGTAGGTAGGTAAATAGTATGCATATTAAGTAGAATAATATGAAATGTGTATTTGACAGTTTCGATATATACTTTATTTTAAATTAAATTCAATAGGTAGTGCAAATAGAAATTATGTTGTAATTGAAAGTGTATAATAATATTTTAATGTTAGTACAGTGATCTAAACTATAGCTGCCTTTATGGAACATTAGTATTAATATAATCAAGATAACTTTAGAATAATTAGTAGGTACCTAACTGTAAGATCCTGCATACGAATAAATTAACTTCAATTTTCACAACATTAACGCAAATTATCTAGACACCAATCATTATATTGATGATTAGCGTGTTCTAGCTTAAAATAATGCAATTAACTGGAAATTGTGTAACACTGAAGCTACACTAGGTCTATACCGGCTATATCTAATGATACGTTTGAATATTAAACAGAGGCAAATAATTAAAACCAGATCACATTCACCTACTGATTTATTTTTATTTTTATTTTAAAAATAACACAATCATTTTTTTTTTTTAATACCAGTTATAAAATATTAAAGGCAATATTATTATATTACGTTTTAAAGTCTAAGCTATACAAATCAAAAATTGTATTAATCATTAAAAACAAAAAAGTTTACATAAGATTGTGAATTTTGAGAATTTTATCAAAAATTGATCATTCAAAGTAGTTAATAAAATAAAATTCTACCACCTATTTATGATTTTTAAATTGTTGTCTATAAATAGCACAATGAACATTATATTAAACTTTTTAGCTTTTTGAATTAGTTAAAACATGTTATAAATACAAATAAAAAAAATTCTAAAAATATTGAATGTTTGAGTTTCTAAAATATTTTGAAAATTCTATCTCATCTAGAAAATGCTGATACATCTAAATATTTGGTGACAATTTAAAGTATCCCTCTCTCTCTCTATATATATATATATGTATATTGTTACATTATTTTATATTCCTGGTTTTTTTTTGATAAATAATTGCTAATTAAAGTATATTTTAATTCAGAACTAATTACATATTATTATTATGAGATTCATTTAAAAATAAATTTGATATTTTTTACTTAAAAAATGTGCATTGGTTTTAAAATTGAGTGTTATTACTTATATTAACTAGTATTGTAATATTATATTATACGTATACCTTGCTACTAATTTTTCTTAAGGCTCTACCTCTATTATAATATTGTGAACTGAATATATCAAGTTTTTTCTATGTGGGAATTATTTTAATTTGTATATAATAAATACAATGTATTATCCTTAACGTAAACTTATTCATTATTCTATATAACAGTCTACAAAGTTTCTTAAAGTAATGCACGTCAAAAAAGCACCATAGCTTCTAAACCTAAGTATCTCATCAATCTTATAACTTAAGAGTAGGATAGCCGTCAATCAATGATATATTTATATATTTATTGTAGAATTCAATAACTACGTAATTACTAATTTTTTTTTATACTGATACCAACACATTTCTATACAACTGAAAACTTATATTGATTGATGTGCATTATAATTACAGTAGTTATAGAAGTAATGATATAGTTTTGTTTTAGTGTTTTGTGTTCAACGAAGATTTTATAAACATATTTTAAGCTAAATTCAGTTCAGTAGTGGCCATTGACAATGAAGAATCGTGCTTTGTTGTTATATTTTCTTCCTTTACTCGATTTTTTAACAAATTTGTTTTCCATATACTTTCATGAAACAACCAAATTAATCAATGAAGTTCCAGTTTTAATACCCATCACGTCAGAATAAATGAGTGTCACCAGTTTAAATTTTGGTTACTTACCGAATAATTACTGCCACATTTGTATACTGCCACGATACCGTACATGTTCCTATGTTCAGCCCACTTAGTGCTGTTATTGGTAATATACTCAAACCGTTAAACTTCCAAAAACCACATGCCCTCTAATAATACCAAAAACAGTGAATATAATGCACACTTCCATTTCATCAGCTCAAACTAAACTATAATTTCCATAGTCAACGACTTAACTTCGTATTATCCATGGCTTAAATATACAAGGTTATTACAATAGTACCCCCACTATATCATTTTATCACGTTAAGGAATTAAAATGGCAGCGTAAGGGGACGACGTATACTGACTATATTATGATATTATATGCTATGATATGGACCGTACCCTTACGCTGCCATTTTATTTTTATTTGATAACAATTTGGCTATGTGCAATAACCTTGTATATTTAAGCCATGGTATTATCATTGATACTATGAAGAAAGAACATTTCTTCTGTAAAAGATAATCAGACTATGGTCAACTGTATAACATTACGGTCATTATTTAGCAAAGTTATGCCAATAAATAAACAATGCAATAATGTTCCCACGACGATCAATGATTTGGTCACACCAAATACTATAGTAACCACACTCCTACTCCCTAAATAAATGCATTCGTTATGGTTACAACTACCTGTCTAATAAATGTGTCAATAATCTTTGAACTCTCCAGCAAAATGTGCTCTTTGTGAGGTTTTCCATCTTGATAAAAACGAAGAACTCAAAAATCATGAGGAATTCCAGAGTATAACAACGTACTCTTCAATTCAAAAAATATACCAACATCAAAAAAACTATATTCACTAATCTGCTAAACACCGTAAAAGTATAAACGCAATGAGATTCTGTTCGAAAGGCAGACAAATATGAAAACCTCAACTGCAATAGGATACTTCAGCAAAGGTATTTACTGTCATATGGTGATGCTGCTTTTGCATCGTTCTAATCCCGCAACATGCCGAAATCCATTGTTGTTCAAATATATGTGGAACGCGAGAATAGTGATCGAGTTAGCCAAGGTGGGACGTGTATGGAAGAAGTGGTGGTGTGGGCAAGGGGTGTATAAGACCAAGCGAAACAGGGATGGAGTAATATATTTCATTAATCAAATTTTAAGGGCACGCGGAATATAAATCGTACGGTACCATCACCGGCACCGCGACACACTACAGCAGACCGTACTCATTCGATCTCACTCTCTCTCTCTCTCTCTCTCTCTCTCTCCCTCTCTCTCTTCCATTTCTCTCCGTCACTCTTCCATGTTGCTATCTGTCTTTATCTCTCAATGTATGTCTCCCTGTATCATCCATAGTCTTCTACCCCAAAAATATTAATGGAATTCGTCAATCTCAAAGTTCCGTTTACACTACAGACGTAATTAATTGTTACACATCACGATACGCTCTTTCTGCTGCTTCTCCTGCTCTTATTCAAGCTCGTGCTCGTAAGCCTTCTGCCCTGTATGTATGCGATTTTATTTACCACATGATATGATCGGTGACAAACAAAGGTTAGTTTGTAAGTTTGTTTGCTTTTGTTTTTACGTATACTTTTCTAATTTATTTTCAAATTGACTTTTTTAGAATGAATTAGAAAAATATGAATGAAATAATTTATAGTCTATGGAATCAAATGAAGCCCGTTAATTAGTATCAGCGATATACATTGTATGTACAAACAATTTAACTACTTTTATGGTTCTAAGAAACTCCACAATTTTCTCTAGAATCAATTGATCTAAATAATCATTTGTTTCACACCCAACATCTAAAAGTAAATTGGTTCAGTTAATTACTAAACCTAATAATTATTAAGTATTATATTAAATTTAATATTAAAAAATATTTTTTTCAATTAATAATTAGTTTTTTTAGTTCATGTTCAACGTTATGGAATTTAAAAATGTTACCTGTACACAATTATTAATTCATTTCTATAAAACGACCGTCAACATATAAGTATGTTTGGAAAACTGTCATAAAAATGAAATGTATGACCTAATTAATATCTTAATGTTGCAGAGAAAACCACTGATATTCTAGGAAAATAACCTGATGCCTAATTCAAATACATTTTGTAGTTTCTGCGATCTTACGTCTTTCGACTAAAATATGGAAATACACAATTTTTTTAATACTAATAATATTTACAACTAAAGGCGTATTTTACTCTCGTCGTTATCCTTTTATGTTCTATTAGTGTAACAGATTGAATAAAAACTATTTAAAAATACATATACAAATATGTAGGTATATATTTGTATACACTCAGTATTTCCTTATACACATAACTATACATATTAATCATAAATAATAAAATTAGAATAATCGATCTTGATTACCTGTAAACTATTAAGAATTTATGGGCGTCACCATTTTCGGCCAAAACGTACCCTTCCCTTTTCGACCAGTGTCACTTTTTGGCCAAAATTTACCGTTCCCTTTTCGGTCAGTAATTTTTTTATTCACATTATTCCCAACAACTGGGTAAA